TTTTTCCATGGAGAATATGATACCCTAGAAGAAGTAGGTATTTGGAGGCCACAAAGAGAAAGGCGACGAATCGAATGCCACATTCTCAGGAAAAAAACAACTTCGAACAGTTCGTGGAACCCCAAAAAAACATGTCTAGCAAGAGGACAGAGGACTCCACAACTGTGGAGGCTCCATGGCATTTCTCTTCCCCCTACTCCCAAATACCCGGCCTTTCTTCAGGGTATTCTTGGGAAAACCGGTTTCGGTTTCGGCTTTCCCATGGGTAAATACCTCCCATTTTTAGCAGAGGGCCGACAACTGATACCAACTTAAAAAAGGCACCGGGTCTTGGGTGAATTGGGTGTAGGTCAGCCTCCTCCCAAACCAAGGTCAAAGCCTTCCGCCGGGCTCAAAGCCAAACCGAAGACGGGTCAAGAGCTTCGAGCATCGGGCGCGCTCGGGACGTCCGGCCCAACGGGAAAAACGGGGGATCCGTCTTGCTGTAACTTAAGAACGAGATCCCGAGTGGAAAAGCAGGGGGTGCTGAGTTCTGGTGCCCCCGTTTTGGGGGATTTTTCAGCAGACATGCAACTTTTGGTGTTTACCCTAACGATTCCCGAATGAAGACCAGAAAATTCGTAGAGTGCGCCCCACCCCCCCCATTGATACTCACAAAGGGGATTGAATTATATTGATGAAAATGCCATGTTTTGGGTTCTTGGCAGCCTCCGTGACACGCCCCCCAACCCCCCCAACCATCATGAATCATGATGGCGCTTTTACCCAAATCTCACTTGCCCAAAGGACCCAGAAATAAAAGGTTGACCTTTTGGGGCAATGACTAAAACTAGACCAAAAAGGAGAAACCAAAAGGTCGGCTTTGGGCAACTGAGAAATGAATTGGTAAAAGCGGGTCAACCAGACCTGCGGCGCCCGCCCAAGTCTTGGGCTTTCTATCCACTGGAACCCCAGATGTATTGGCTTCAATTGGCTTCCCTTTGCTTTGGGTCTGGTGGAAAGAGCGATTCATCCCCGCAACCTCCAACTTCCAACGCTTGCCTTTTTCAGTTGGTATCATGTCAACCGTCTAGGAAAAAAAAGCTTTTCAAAATATACCCTCAAAAAAAGATGGTATTTGGAGTTTTTGGGACCATACGGCTGAGAAACATCCCCTCACAGCAAACTCTGAACATACAGGAAAAACGATCCACATACGGGGTCCGTCCGAAAAAAATGGCTATACGGCTTTCCAGAGAGTTTTTAGGGGGCATGTGAAACATCTTCGCCCTCGCCGTGCCCATCTCGCCTCGCTCCTCGCCTCGCTCCGCGCTTCACCTCGCGCCTCGCGCCGCACCGCGGCGACCTCGGGGCGAAGCGGCACCGCGACCTCACCGTCTGCGGCTTAAGGAAACCAGTCCGGGCGATGCCAGCTACGCATGGGAAAACCACTGGCGTTTTCCCTAGGGCCAGCATACAGATTTGGCTAAAACCTTGAATTTCCTTGAACCCAAGCTTGGCGAGGAGGATCGAAAGGCGGATACGGCCCACTCGAGGGTCTGGTAGGGGAAATCCAGGACCAAGAGCCCCCCCCTTCACATGGCCTTCGGCCTTTTGTGGGACCAAATCGCACTGGAAAGGGTCCCCCCCCCCTCGAAAATTGTTTGGGTCCAAACCCAAAAAGTGACCACTTGGATGGTCAGCCCACTTAGGTTATAACTGTACAATGTTGGTAAGCCCGTTACCCCAGATATAGCCTAACCTACCCGCCACTGGTCTCATGATTTTACTGTGAAAGTCACCCTCTAAGTGGTAGGATCAAGCGAAGCAGCCCCAGTTGCTGATCTTGATAAACACGTAGAAACCGAGCAAGAATTTGACCCCAGTCTTTTGCTGCCGAATCGCATGGGAATACACGAATGCTCGCACCCCCCTACACTGCTTGCGAGGATCGATCCCACGATTCAGTCAACCACTATTTGAATTCCCGCGCAGAACCCAAGGAATCCCCCCGTAACCTCCAAGAATACCCGGCCTTTTTTTAGTGGGCATTTTTTCACGGAAAACCGGGTTTCCCCGGTGTTCCCTGGTAAATACCTCCTCCCTTTTTTAGCAGAGGGTCGACATTAATGATACCTTAACTCAAAAAACGCATCGTTGGTCTTGGGTGCGGTTACGGGGTCCAAGGAATCCAGAGCCGCTTGTAGTTCTGGCCGAACCCGCAAGATTTATTGGGTGTCCTTTTGGCTTCCCAAAACAAAGGGTACCTTTTTTTGTCTTTGTTTGGGGCCCCGCCGCTACGTAATCGCGCGTTTGGACGCATTTCGTGTGTTGCATTTCGTGTGGCCTGCGTGGGACTTCCTAGACATGTATCACAAAAGCGACACATTTTGCATGGTATTTCACACGCTCGCGGGTTCGCGGGGGGGGGGGGGAGGAGGCGTCTTGGGGTGGGGTGGGGACATAAGCGCCGCGCCACGCGATCACGTGTATCGCAGGGGGGGGGAGGGGTGGGGTCTTGGGGTGGGGTGGAGTCATAAGCGCCGCGCCACGCAATGTGAAGGAAAAGACTTTGCGGATTCTAGATGCGGATTTCTGTGTCCCCGTACCCTATCATAGAAAGTTCTTGTCTTGCAGCCGCATAATCATCGCATTGTTCGGTTACAAGTGTTGGAAGGTTTTGTTGGACACACCATGGCTTGTTTCAACAGAAAGCGGACCGGGGCTGATCAAAGAATCGACATGATTGGTAGCAAGTGTCTTTTGCCAACTATTCAGCTACGCATGGGGACATGTTCTTGGTACAGCTTTGGCTTCTCTTCTTTCGGCTGGTGATCCCTTTTGCTCGCAATCTTAAATCGCTTCGAAAGCACGAAACCTAGGCGAAAAGGACCTTTCCCCCATTTTCCAGAAAAAACGAGAGAACCACCAGACCTCCTTCAAGTTAGTTCTTCTGTTTCGTGTGGCCTGCGCGGCACTCGGCGACTACCTGCAGAAAGCAAGGCGGGTGGCCGCCTTGTTACGCGGCGGCGGCGCGTTGTTTGGGGAAATCTCAAAATTGTGATTGTCCTTTTTTGCTTTCCCACAAACAAAAGCTACCGAAACGAACAGAAAAAAAAGGTAAGGGGAATGAAACCAAGTTTGGGGGAAGCCGTGCCATTTACTTTCAGAAAGCTGTTCCTTAAGGTGACCCCTCCAATGGAGAACCCGGACCCTTCAGCCCGGCGCCTACATGATGTATATATATATATGTATACATAGTATAAATCTAGTTGCATGGTGTCCTAATATGTATATATATATATATATATGTACATGTTGGGTAGACTAGATTTACAAAATACAATCTGAACAATTGTATGTTCTTTGTTCCCCAGAGAACTTTGTTTTCAACTGGGCAATAGCATCCCAAAAAGCCGCGGCGGACAGCGCGCACTCCGATCCGTTTTGCCGCTTTCTTCTTGAGGCAAAGTCCAGCCATCTTCCTCAGACACCTTGGTCGCCGAAGATCGAGGGAAACAAAGGCCCCTAGCTCCAACCCTGTTCTATATAGGCTATAGTGAATGTGTGTGTGTGTGTTGTGTTGGCTCGTTTGCGTGTTTGCGTGTTTGCGACCGCGCACGCGCGTGAGCGGCTGTGTGTGTGTGTGAGCGTGTGAGCGTGTGAGTGTGTGTGTGTGAGTGAGTGAGTGAGTGAGTGAGTGAGTGAGTGAGTGAGTGAGTGAGTGAGTGAGTGAGTGTGTGTGTGTGTGTTTGTTTGCTGGCTGGCTGGCTGGCTGGCTTGCTTGCTTGCTTGCTTGCCTCCTTGCTTGCTGGCCTGCTTGCTTGATTGCTTGTTTGTTTCTTTGTTTGCTTGCTTTCTTGATTGTTTGTTTGCGTGTTTGTGGTTTTGTGTGTGTGGTGTGTTTCTGTGTCTGTATGTGTGTGTGTGTGTTTGCTTGCTTGCTCGCTCCCTCGCTCGCTCGCTCGCTTGCTTGCTTGAATCACAACTGTTTACAGGGAGGTTAACTGGACTACCTACTTAGATATTCAGCCTACAAAGTAAGTGGCTTGCAATGATGGCTTTATATCAACGGGACTGTCTTTTGTTTGCGGGGTGGGTACCCTTCTGGGGGATTGTTTTGGGCTCCACGAATTTTTGAGAACCCCAATATGTACACCAAGCGACTGGCAACTTAATCATAGTGAACTGACCTGCCGGCCAACAATTGAAGAACCCACAGCACGCGTGGTTTCCCTTCAAACGGCCCCAGACAAGGTATCAACTCCAAAGAAACAACATATGGGTTTGTCTCCAAATGGGCAAACCGCAATTTGTTGCGTCCATCCAGTCTCCCTTTTTTCCAAAGAAGGGGAACTCACCAACAAAAAGACCGCCACCTCCCTCCAACTGCTTAAGTCTCCCTTTAAAACCAAGAGGGAACAATAAAACACATCTTTGCACAAATGGAAGGAAGCCAACCGAGTTTCCAACTTGAGGAGGGGGTGAACGAAAGCTGGCAACAGAGGGAGAGGGTGGAGCAGGGAGAATTCGAGCCCGGGAAGGGGGGGGGGGGCAGCCCCTTACCTTGCTTACGCAAGGAGAAGCTTCACCTAGCTAAAGCTAGTTTCCAACAAGGTCTCTCCGGGTTACAGCATTTTCTTACAGGGATCACTGTATTTCCCCATCAACAGTTGCAGCTTGTGCACGGCTTCCAACCAGATTGCCCCCTTTTCAAGATCCCGATCCCTGCCTTGAGCAAGGAGATCCCTAGGGGACCTCCATAATGGTGGATTCCTTTTGGTGTCCCTTTAAAACCTACCAAACAAAGGGAACCAACTCCAAACAAAGACACTAGGTCCCCAGTAGAGAGCTTAGAATAAGGGTACCCATCTTTTTCCCTGTAGTCTATTTTTAGTAGGAGAACCCTCCCCAAAAAAGAAACGGTAAAAGGGCACGTAGCTGGCAAACCTAGGATAGAATCTTCTCAGGGTCTAAACATAGTTTTTTCGCGGTGAGAAATTCCCTGCCGAGCCGCGAGATCAAAAGTCGCTGGCCCTGGCAGGCTCAGGAAGCTGCTCGGAAGTTGGCTCAAGTACTCAAGCTTATGGCCGAAAGGCAAGCTAGACTGGAAAAATCGGACCCCCTTTCAAAAAAATAATCATCAGTTTTGCCTGGCTAGTGGAAAACAAAGAAACGGGACCCCAACCAAAAAAGCAAAAAAGGAGAAAGAGGGGCGCCACTTAGGACCTGGGGCTTTTTGGAGAGCACCATCGCGCGTGTTTGGGCCCCTGGAAAGCCACGGGGCCGACTTTTTTCTCTTTTCTCTTTCGGACGGGACCCGTGCTGGGAGCGTTTTTTTTTTTTTTTTTCCCGTAGAGCCGGCCATTTTTGGCCGCCCATTCTTGGTTGACGTTGGGTTAGGGGAGCAAAAAGAAAAATCATTCTTGGCAGTGAAGTGGATTTGGATTTCAACCCCTAAACCACAATAAGCAAAAATGTTAAATGGTTCCCAACAACAACCAACCATTCTCTAGGAGTGTCTTGGACCTCATTTGAGGGTCTTGGGGGTTCAAGGAACCCCCTCATATTTAGGGTAAAAGGGGCTCCTGGGATTGTGTACCCTTCAGGATTGGCATATCTGTCCGCTTTCAGATCCTCGATCGCGAAAAGTGAGAATAGCTTGTGGGTTGAAATTCGGAACCCCAACCACTAAACCAACTAAAAAAATATAAAAAAGCTAAGGCGATGAGCTTAACATGTGGGCTGAATGGAGACGCCCACTTAACCCTAAAAACCTACAAACCTAAGCAAGGGCGAAATAATGACGAATCACGAATCGGTTTCTCCCAACCTACATGATGAGCGTGTTTTGCCCCAGTGAGCTCGTTTGCCACGATGTTCCGCCAGTCCTTTGGGAAGTCACTCACGTTTGTCGACTTGCCACCTCGGTTTTGGGAAACTCAGTTTTCGTTTTGATGTTCAGTCAGCCAAGTTCAGTGGCCAGCCTGGGTTATAACCCAAAGCCAACAACTTGAGTCAGCCGAACGCAGCAGGTCTTGGCCGTCCGAAAAGCGGAACGGGATGTCATTCCCAGGACATGAGAAGTTAAAGTGGATGTCTACGGTTTCGACTACCTCACCACTGCCCCTCAAAAAGAACATCCTGGAGTCTCCATGACTCTTTAAAAATGGGGTAATTACCCAAAATACAGGGGTCATGGACCCATTTTTAAAGGGTCATGGAGACTCCAGGATGAGGTGTACGGCGTGTACGGCTACTAAAGACGTGGCATAAAGGGTAATCAACTCCATTGTCCCTCGCGGGCGATGGTTTGGGTGTAGCGGACGCCCTCTCTCAAATCACTCGCCCCAAGCCGGGTACTCACTACAACGATTGGAAACCACGAAGCTTTGAGGAGGAAACTGGCCAGTGACCCTGGTGGGTTTGTCCTTTTTTGGAGTCCTTTTTGGCTTCCCTTTGAAACCAACCAGCATTTAAACATTATTGAACACGGGCTTGGCTCGCCACAGACTGCTGGGCCGAGCACTACCCCCCCCCACCCTCTTGTTCGTCACAGAATGCTCAGCCTGCTCTGTATGTAGCTTCTATCTATATCTTATAACCTTGTTTTTGTCAACCCACCAACCTGTCAACCACCAGCCACTGATATCGCCTTGCAACAACTTCTGCTTGCTTTTCCGGTGCCATCTGCCAGTCTCCGGAAATGAATCCTGCAGGATGAGGTTGCCGTGTAGGATTCGGACCACTCTTTTCTAGGGTATGTTTTGGGAAAACCCGGCTTTTCAAGGCAGATACCTCCTTTTTTAGTAGAGGGTCGACATGATGCCCTAGAAAAGGCCGGGTATTTGGAGATTCCGGAAGCATGCTTGCTACCGTTGAATGTTCAACACAGAGAGAAACCAAGCCAACCAAACCAAACAAAGCAACCAAACCAAAGCAACCAAACCAGCCACCAACCACCGAAGCACTAAACAACTGACTGCAAAAGGCGCCTGCAAGCGGGAAAAAAACAAAAAAAAAACAATCACTTCCCGTCAATCGATCCGAAGCCTGCGCCACCTCTTCTTGCGCTGGCGGATGTGCAGCTCCGACAACTCGGTGTCGGACCGTCGGAGGGCGAGTTGTTGAAATTCCATGACTCGCTTCCAGACAGGGACCCGGGAGAAAAAAAAAAAAAAAACGAAGGACATGGATGGCTCCCCTCATGAGGGGGGGGGGTGGGCGGGGGGCGGGGGCCGGGGTTGAGCAAAATCAAGTCTGAACTTTCAAAACTTGGTACCCCAAATGGCACCTTGGTATGTGGAAACAAAGGCCAAAAAATCCTGCGCAACCGCAAAATTTCGGGCCACACCCATCACTTCAAAAGGCCATGACAAAATTGGCGTTGGGCAAGTCACATCGAAGGCGCTACGCCAAACACCCCAAAAAGAAAAATCAGCAGGATGATTCGGCCTAGGTCCTCCACTTTAAAGAAGTTAGAATAAGTTGGTACCCGATTTTTTTCCAGTGGTCTATTTAGTCACGGGGAACCCTCCCCCCAAAAAGAAACGGCAAAAAAGGCACCTTAGCTGGGGCACCTAGCGGCTGATTGGAAGCTGTTGCCAGCCTTGGTAAGCTGCCCAAATGATGGCGCGTCTCCTTCCGACCCAAAAACTGCTTCAGGTCGTTTTGTAGTGTTGATAAGGGGGTGTCCGATTCTGGGTTTAGTGGGGAATCAGACCACTTTTGGAGGGCCCCACCCCACCCTATGAAACTAAACCGTTGTTGTTTGTGTATTTTTCGTTTTTTTTCAGCACCCTGAACCCTCAAAATTCCAGAATAGTGATAGATTCCACGAGAAAAAAACACGAAAACCCCGAATGTGATAGATCCCCTGAAAAAACAAAAAACAAATAGAGGAAAACAAAACCATAGTCTTCAACTGGCCGGATCGGCCCCGAAAGTTTCGGGTCCTTTGCTTCCGGGATATCCGAACTCCGGATCCGAAATTCCAGAATAGTGCTAGATTCCCTGAAAAAACTCAACCACCGGGGAACCGAACTCACCATATTCTTCCGTTTCGGGTACCCCGTAACCACCCCCAACACCCACTTTCTTTGGGGTATCATGTCGACCCGCTACCAAAAAAGGGATCGGTATTTACCATGGAAAACCGAAACCGGTTGTCCCAAACATACCAACTAAAAAAAGGCCGAATCGGTATTGGGAGTAGTAGGTATTTGGAGTATTTGATGTTCACCAGAATTACAGGGCTTTGACCCACAGCCAAAGAGGGGCCCCGTTAAAAATCTCCAGATCCGTTTCCTCCGGCTCGAGCTCGGCGTCACGCTGACTCCCCCTCCACCTCTGTGAGGAACATCTCCTCCGCCACGTCCAGCGGATATGTGGCCTCGCGTGCGAGCTGGGGAACCCCGAAGAAGCTGCCGGGACACTCGCAAAAAAAAAAACGAGGAGCTCGCCATTAAAAAAAAAACAAAAACATCACCCCATAAAAGGGGATTTCAGCTTTTGAGGTGCTTAGCGCCCAATTTCACCCCATAAAAGGAGTTACTAAAAAGGGGAGTTCACCCCATAAAAAGAAGATGTCCCCATAACAAGAAGATTTCACCCTATAAAAAGGGGAGTTCACCCCATAAAAATAAGATGTCACCCCATAAAGATGGAATTTCGCCATGTCAACCATGTAGTGGTTACCTGGTGTCCATGCAAATAGTGGGCTCTAGCGGTCTGTAGCGGTGTTCTATGCTGTATATATGCATATTCAACTGGGCTGCCCGTGTTCAGATCCCCCGCTAAAAGTTTAGCTTGCGGGTTAAACGGACATCCCCACTGAACACTAAGCTAAGGTTTTAAGAGGACTGAGAGCCAAGTCAACAATGTCTGGTTTGCATGCAGATAGTGGACCATAGTGGTATATAGAGTTGTATAGAGTGGTATTCTGTGATACATAACCTGGGACCCCATATGGCCTTTTTTTCTTTAGGTCATACGCTTTTGACCGAAAAAATGGCCATACGGATTTTTACGGCTGTTTTTCAACCTCTTGTCGAAAAAATATGGGTTTCATACGGGTGATTTACGCAAATCACCGCAAAAACATGGCCATACGGGCAAATCTGGCCAAATACGGGAGTTTGACCGGAAAATAAAAAGCCGTACGGGGTGCCAAGAAGTATACATACATACCTTTACGGTTGCTGAAACAATACAGTAGGCGTTCGCACATCTTTAAAAGGGCTGTAAAATGGACTCCACGCAGGAATCTCGCAGGTGCGTTGGTTTGGATTTTGGCCGATTTGCCTTCTTCGTGGCCGTTTCAAGGAACAAAGACAAACCCGGGCGGTTAGGCCGGCTTCAGTTGAAATCAAAATCTATTTTGAGAAGCAAAGAAGGATTGCAAAACCAACCACTCAATGGCAATTGCATTTCTGGGCAACTGTCTGAAGAGCGCTGGCACAAAGGATCGATTCGTGTTCTGTCGAGGGGGGGGGGGGGGTAGGGCGGGGTGTAGATACCTCTGGTCGGTTCAGAATTCATGCTGGCTGCAAGAAACCAGCATCACGCCCAAAAAACATATAGGTGTCTCTTTGTTTAGCGTACTTGTTTTTTGCGGTTTTACGGAAAACCACCATTTTCGGGGGGAGGGGGAGCACATGCGGCGGACTGAAGCCCCGGTGTGCAGAAAGCCCGACGCTCTAAGAGAGGTTTGCCTCAAAAAAAAAGAGCACACCCCGAATGGTGGCTCCATACCAGGGTTAGGACCACATCGGGGTTCACCGTTCGAAACACCCTCCAACAAAAATACCCTGGGTTTCAAACCACCATTAAAACAAAGGGGTTCATACAACCCCTATTATGTACCTAAGAAGCTTCACCATCCAAATTGGGTGAACCATTCTTTTACTGGGGGGTGAACCCTAGGGAACACGAGCCCTCCCTTAAAAAAAACCACGCGCCCAGCGCTTTCCCCTCGACCGCTGTCATTTTCGCTTGCCCGGGCTGATGCCCAGCGGCAACAGAAATCGGATTCTCTGACCTTTCCAGGCCGGCGGTTCGAGCTGGTTCAAGCAAAGCCCCGCCCTGGCAAAAAGGAATGCGTCAAACCTCGGCGTTCGCGTGCCACCCCCCCCCAACCGAAAAACGCCTAGGCTTGATTCTGGTCCATTTCTGGTGACCCTGACCATGCGGAAAAAAAAAAAAAAAAAAAAAAAAACATGTGGGTTGATTCCATCCTTCGGCCACAAACCGATTCGGTTAACACGTGCCGAACTCTAAGCGGCGGGCCTCATCCCAATTCACCTCGACACGTCGCCGGGCGCACCAAGCATTCTCCATTCAAAAACCCGTGGCCTGGTTGGTGCCTGGAACACCTCTTTTGCCGGAAAACCGGTTGCCTGGTTGGTTCCCGACGCGCAACACACCTCATTTCCCCAAAAACCCATTCTTGGTTGCTGTTGAACCCCCCGCAAAAAGTGAATAACTTTTTGGGGGTTTAGTGGAAAACAACCTTTATTTCCCAAAAAGTTAAAGTCTAAAGATCCAAGCGGTCAAGCATTGGCAGGTTGGTTCCCGAAGACCCTCGTACCTCCTTTCCCCTCGATCAGTTTGCTGGTGGGTTTGCGACCACCCCCGCAACCACCAAATACGAACGCCTTTTTTCAGTTGGTATCATGCCAACCCTCTACTAAAAAAGGAGCGCCTACGAGGGAAAACCAACCGATCGGGTTTTTTTTTTGTTTAAAAAACAACTGCCAAGCAAAAAGATGGTATTTGGGTGGGTATGTCTCACTTCCTGCGTGGGTTGGACCAAAACAAGTCCTTGGACTTTTGGTTTACCACCAAAATGGTGCACAAAGTATCCGCACCTTCCCCTGAAGGTTAGATTGGCTGGTTAGGTCCCGTACTCACCAGAAGTCTACAGGTTTCACAGGGGAAACCACCCAAAAACAGAGTGTGTGTTATGAAAGTTGCCTTTTGACTGGTTGGCTTTCCTCCTCCCCGTCCGCCGCCTTTTTAAAGCTAGACAAGCCAAAGGCAAGCCCAGTGCGCACAAACCCAACACCTCAACGTTGTATTGAGTCAATTCTGGGTTGTCCGCTTTCAGATCTCCTGCGAAAGGTTGAACGCTTATGGTGGGTGAAATTCGAACAACCGGGGAAAGCCACATTCTCCAGCAAGAAGCTCAAAAGCCGGGCTTGCGGGGGCCACTGACTCACTGACATTCACCGACCGACCGAACTCCAGGCCAACGCGCGCACGCGCGTACCTGAGACGCGGGCCATGACGCCAGGCCTGGGCTGGCCTTTCCAGCCTTTCGGACGGTTGGCCCACTCTCCTGGCGCCAAGTGCATCGAAGATTCTCCGACTCGAGAGGAAAGGCGGGTGGAGGACACCCGGAAAAAATCGAAGGGCGGTTTTTTCTTCCGACCCCAAGCCGTGTTTTTTGGAACCAACCTGGGAATCTAGATGGCCGTTTCTTTTTGGTCATTGACTGAAAATTGCCAAATACGAGCTCGTTTGCCCGAAAAATACGAGAGTTTGACCGGAAAAAACAGCCAGACTAAATTTTTAAAAGGTGCCAGGAATCCACCAAAAGGCAAAATAGAGGTCCAAAAACAGCTTTGCGGTTGGACAAACAGGGCCCCCGCAATTGAAGCTAGTTTTGTTGCAGCTCCTCGCGCAACTCAGCTTTGGGGTGTGGTTTTGCGAAGGGCCAGCACCAGACTGGCCTGAAGAGCTATGGGCATCAAAAGTGGTAAGTAACCCAGGGGTAGGGTGGGTGAGTGTTTACTTTAAAAAGGAGTGGTAGAGTGGCCGACCTCCAAACTGCAAAGCCCAAGTTGACTCTAGGTAACCAAGCAGGGAAACCACCCCTCCTTGAGGGCGAGTTGCTACCTTCTTCTTAAGGGGTTCGTGGAATCTTTGCTCTGACAGTTTTATAACATGTTGGTTTTGCACGGCTGCTTACCTTGAACTTGATTCTAGTTCCCAGTTGCCAAGTTGCTTTGAAAAAAGGGGGTTCTGTCGCCACAACGTCGTCCGACACCGATCAGCAACTCTTCCGATGGTGTTGCTGAGCTTGGAGAACTTGTCGTTCGCCGTTGCTCTCGCGTTGGACCTTTGCCTTCTCCATCAATATCATTTGGCCCTCGGGCGCCTTTGACGCGTTCAAGGCCAGTGGGCAATTTCTCCATCTCATCAATCTGGCTGCCACGTGTCCATTGGAATAGTGCCCCGCGGTGGGTCTTCTTCCCGACATGCTTCGTCCTCAGCCAGCTTCTGCCATGATGCGAACTGATTTCCTCACCCGCGGACGCGGTGCTGGGTGTGACATGGCGATTCCTCGCGGCGAGGGTCGCCTTCCAGACATGGCGGCAGGAAGCGAAGTCATGTTGCAGGCCTCACACGTCAAGTCTTTGGGCCAAGCCAAGACGTTCGCTGACTCCAAGACTTGCTCCGGCGTTTCAAACCGTCCTCATAAGTCCTGGGAGCTCTGCTCGGCTCTGCCTACCCGGTGGCGCACCACTCGTTTTTCGCTGCTCCTGAGAGCCGTTGCCAGATCCGGCTCGCTGCCGCGTTGCGCTTGGTCGGCGCCAGCTCGCACACGGTCTCCAAGGCTTGCTACTCGCCTGGGTCGCCATTCCATGATGGCACAGCCTGCTTGGGCATCTTGAACCCCCTACTCTAAATACCTACTTGTTTTAAACGTATTTTTGGAAAAACCTGGCTTCCCATGGTAAATGCCGATCTCTTTTTTAGTAGAGGGTCAACAAATCATACCCTAAAAAAAGGCTGGGCATTTGGAGTAGGGGGAACCCGTTGAGCTCCCTCCAGGAGCTCCGCTACCATGCAACTGGGTCCCTACCCTCAACCTACCTAGGGCTTCAGAGCCCCCATTTCTCCTGTAGCCGTCTGGCCTCGAGCCCGCCCTCTCAAGGGCTGTCGCATGTCAAGCCTACACCAAACCCTCGGATTTCTTCAGTCTGAAGAAATCGATTCAGTGACGAACCCCCAACTCAACCCCTTTCACTCCCTGGAAACCCATATGTGAAGTTTTTGTTCTGTCCATACGGCTTGGGCCACAAAAAATGACCACGCGGTTATTGACGGCTTTTTTGTCAACAATTTGATGCAGGCTGCCAAACTCCAAAGACTTTCAGTGCACCTCCGATTCCCTTCTTTCAGCACACTAACGTCCGTTTAACAGCTGCACCGAATCAAAAGCTCAGCTGCTCTTGCACCTGGCTGCTGTCTCCGCCGTATTCTGCATGGCCCCAGGTCACAACAGCCCCAGATTCAAGAATGGCAGCAAAAGCAAGGCCACTTGCTTGGATGTGCCGAACGTTCCTCAGCTGCTCTTGCACCTGGCTGCTGTCTCCGCCCCGCGCTGCACTACCCCAGGTCGCAACAGCCCCAGACTCCAAAATGGCAGCAAAAGCACCACCAAAACTACAACCAGTTGCCTGGATGTGCTGGACATTCCTCAGCTGCGCTTGTACCTGGCTGCTGTCTCCGCCGTATTCTGCATGGCCCCAGGTCACAACAGCCCCAGATTCAAGAACGGCAGCGAAAGCATGGGAAGTTGCTTGGATGTGCTGCACATTTCTCAGCTGTTGTTGCACCTGGCTGCTGTCTCCGCCGTATCCTGCGTCACCCCAGGTCACAACAGCCCCAGATTCAAGAATGGCAGCAAAAGCAAGGCCAGTTGCTTGGATCTGCTTGACGTTCCTCAGCTGTTCTTGCACCTGGCTGCTGTCTCCGCCGTAATTTTTACCACCCCAGGTCACGACAGCCCCAGACGAAAGAATGGCAGCGAAAGCACCATCAGTTGCTTGGATGTGCTCGACATTTCTCAGCTGTTCTTGGACGTGGCTGCTGTCTCCGCCGTATCCTGCACCCCAGGTCACAACAGCCCCAGATTCAAGAATGGCAGCAAAAGCACCCCCGCAAGTTGCTTGGATGCGCCGGACGTTTCTGAGCTGCTCTTGAACCTGGCTGCTGTCTCCACCAGCTTCTCCATCACCCCAGGTCACAACAGCCCCAGACTTCAAAATGGCAGCAAAAGCACCACCAAAGCCACGACTAGTTGCTTGGATGTGCTGGACATTTCTCAGCTGCTGTTGCACCTGGCTGCTGTCTCCGCCGTATTCTGCATGGCCCCAGGTCACAACAGCCCCAGATTCAAGAACGGCAGCGAAAGCACGGGAAGTTGCTTGGATGTGCTGCACATTTCTCAGCTGCTCTTGCACCCGGCTGCTGTCTCCGCCGTATCCTGAGTCACCCCAGGTCGCAACAGCCCCAGATTCAAGAATGGCAGCAAAGGCACCGCCAGTTGCTTGGATCTGCTGGACGTTCCTCAGCTGCTCTTGCATGTGGCTGCAGTCCGCGCCGGACTGCGCGCGGCCCCAGGTCACAACCTCGCCACCATGGGCACTCCAAGCAAACATATGATACGTGGCAGTCAGTGTGCCCAGTTGCACCACAGCAGCCACCGCATCCCCATCTCGCAGCCCGGCATCACTCAGCGTGGCCTTCAAATCGAGCCACCGGCCTTTTGCAGTGAGCTTCAAGCGGCGCTGGAAATGCTCCTGCGCTGCAGCCTTCAGCTCGCTGATAGGCCTTTTTGCTGAGAGTGAGATGGAGCAACCATCTCCACTGGGCAGGTAAACATCCACCTTCATGGCGAGGGAGGGCTCATTCGGGTGCAAGTTGCCAAACACAAGCCTGAAACACAAAACAGGGGAGCCCCTTTGAATGGCATTTCAAAAGAATCCCACCCGTGTCTTGGGTTCAACTCCTAGGACACATGACATGCAAGCAAAGCTCCGTCGGGTCTTGAACCGTCACCCTCAAGAGAGGTGGATGGCCTTCCCTGCCCATGAACCGCCCCCATGTCCCCGAGGAAAAACAACCTACCCCGGAGCTTGAAAGGCAGAGAACATAGGTGGCCGTCTGGTAAATAGATGGGAAGCCCCTGATAAATGGGTAATAAAACCAAACTCAATCAGTGGAACCCATCAATATCTAACCAAACCAACCAATCAAAAGGACACCTACCTACTCCAAATACATGTTTTTCTTTTTTAGTCCGCCGACATTGCTCGGCGTGTCGGATACTTACTAGAGGATAGAGGATAACCCCCCCCCTAACCCCCCCCCGCCCGACGTCTATTACGTAGGTTTTTTGGGGGGGGGGGGGTCCCCCACGTACCGCGCGGCAATTTGATGACGTTCCACTAAACGTAGTCTTCGGGGAGCCGGTGTCGCAAAACAGGGGTCCCAGGCTCGATTCCCCCTGCCGGCTTTTTTGCTGGCTTGGGCTTCCTGCATCCTTTTGCCGAAAATCTGGAAAAACTCAATGTTTTTGGACGTCCTCTTTGCGAAAACGCTGGAAAAACCGTGTTTTTTTTGCGGGAAATACTGGGGAGCAAAGGGGAAGTGCAAGGATACATACATACATACATACATTACAGTACATTACATTACATTACATTACATGACATTACATGACATTACATACATACATACATTACATACATACATACATGCATACATGTATGTAAGCATGCATGCATGCATGCATGCATGCACACAAACATACATACGTACATACATTACATGCATTACATTACTTACTTACTTACTTACTTACTTACTTACTTACTTACTTACTTACTTACTTACATTACATTACTACATACATACATACATACATACATACATACATACATACATACATACATACATTACATACATACATACATACATACATACATACATACATACATACATACATACATACATACATACATACATACATACATACATACATACATACATACATACATACATACATACATACATACATACATTACATACATACATACATACATACATACATACATACATACATACATACATACATACATACATACATACATACATACATACATACATACATACATACATACATACATACATACATACATACATACATACATACATACATACATACATACATACATACATACATACATACATACATACATACATACATACATACATACATACATACATACATACATACATACATACATACATTACATACATACATACATACATACATACATACATACATACATACATACATACATACATACATACATACATACATACATACATACATACATACATACATACATACATACATACATACATACATACATACATACATACATACATACATACATACATACATACATACATACATACATACATACATACATACATACATACATACATACATACATACATACATACATACATACATACATACATACATACATACATACATACATACATACATACATACATACATACATACATACATACATACATACATACATACATACATACATACATACATACATACATACATACATACATACATACATACATACATACATACATACATACATACATACATACATACATACATACATACATACATACATACATACATACATACATACATACATACATACATACATACATACATACATATACATACATACATACATACATACATACATACATACATACATACATACATACATACATACATACATACATACATACATACATACATACATACATACATACATACATACATACATACATACATACATACATACATACATACATACATACATACATACATACATACATACATACATACATACATACATACATACATACATACATACATACATACATACATACATACATACATACATACATACATACATACATACATACATACATACATACATACATACATACATACATACATACATACATACATACATACATACATACATACATACATACATACATACATACATACATACATACATACATACATACATACATACATACATACATACATACATACATACATACATACATACATACATACATACATACATACATACATACATACATACATACATACATACATACATACATACATACATACATACATACATACATACATACATACATACATACATACATACATACATACATACATACATACATACATACATACATACATACATACATACATACATACATACATACATACATACATACATACATACATACATACATACATACATACATACATACATACATACATACATACATACATACATACATACATACATACATACATACATACATACATACATACATACATACATACATACATACATACATACATACATATGTACATGCATGCATACATACGAGAGAGGGAGAGTGGGGAGAGAGAGGCTTGGGGGGATGGGGAGGATGGGAGCAGAGGGAGGGAGAGAGGACGACAGAACACACAAGGGAGACAAGGAAGAGAGGAAGAAGGAGAAAAGGGAGAGGACAATGTCGGCGGACTGAGCCGGAGGCTCTAAAGTATTGGTATGATTTGTCGACCCTCTACTCAAAAAAGGGGTCGATATTTACCATGGAAACAGGCTTCTCCGAAGACTTGGTTGACGTTGGAAGGGGAGCAAGCATTTTAGAATTGTAGCAGTTAAGTGGATTTGGATTTCAACCATTAAACCACACTAAGCAAAAACGTAAAATATGGTTCCCAACAACAACCATGTGGGTACCAGTACTGGGATGTTCCCAGATTCCCTGCTAAGAGTCGAACACTTGGAGTGGTTTCGGGGAAACTACCACTAAACTAAACCAACAACAAAAAACGCGGGTTTCTGGAGTGGTCCCCTCTCAGGTCTTGGCTTTCGTCTGAGTGTAACACAGGGCTTTCACGGCTGGGGGGAGGGAGGGAGCGGGGGAGGGGGAGAGGGAGCGAACTGAGCACTGGGGCATTTTGCCCCAAATAAGGCTTTAGGGGCTTAACAAGGGCGTATTTGGGCTCCCTCCCCCTCCTCCCTCCCCCCCAGCCCCCATGAGGCTTTAAGGGCTCAGTTTGTGTTGCCCCTAAAGCCTGAACGCTCATAGCGCCCTAAGTGCCTGTTGGAGAATCGAAAGACTGTGCTTGTGAGTGCCCAACTGGTTCATCCCATACCCCAACCCCCCTTTTCAAACTCGACACTTCCATACATCTTCTTGCATGTTCGATTCGCCAAGTTAGGAAGTGGATAGCCACCTGGGCTATAATGTAACAATGACAAGGTCCACCAAACGGAAGATCTATCAGTGGAGTGTAACCCAGGTTGCCGATAGAAGTCAGCCGGAACATCCAAGTGCCCCCACTCCAAATACCTGTCTTTTTCAGGATATCATGTCAACCTTCTAGTAAAGGATGTATTTACAATGGAAAACCAGGTTCTTCAAACAATACCCTGCAAAACAAAATGTATTCGGAGTAGGGGGTAGGCAAATGTCAATACTTCCGAAACCCATGAGGCAATTGGTCTCATCGTGGTATTCGCTCGGTGACTTTCTCGGCATTTTCTCGTGAAATCGCCTGCCTGTAAGGCGCTACGCTGAGCCTTACTCGCGGGTTTGAATTGATGGGGGTTTCAACCCGTGATGCTTGTATCTCCACGGGGGTCATGAGCCTTAGGGCAGACAACCGCTTAGCATCGTGTGAATTCCAATGGCATCAACCGAAGAAGCAAACAACAAGAAGGTACTTCACGCAGGGGAAACTCGAAATTTAGATAGGTGGAATTGCTTCTTCGAGTTTAAGGAGGGACTTGGCCTCAAAAGAAGACGTTGGAATTTGGCGGCAAGAAATCGGTTTTGGGAGTATGAGTGTCTTCTTTTGAGGGTACCCCTCGGTGGCTGTACTCAGTCGCCCAAAGGACCCAGAAATAAAAGGTTAACCTTTTGGGGCCTTTACAAAAGACCAAAATTGAAAAACCAAAAGGTTAAAAGGTCGGCTTTGGGCAACTGAGTTTAAAGGGAGAGCAGAAGGAACACCACCACCCCCAAAAAATAGACCCGCCCATATGTTAACCCCAGATCAATCCCATGTGTATTCAGGGACGGTCCCTGGGTTGTGGGGAGGGGCCAAAAACCACTCCCTAGGGGTTCAACTTTTGGGGAACGATACCATGCCGAGGGGTCGAGGGGGGTCTTCTGGTTTCAACCTGAGACAAACCGGCCCCAAAAGGTCGACGGGCTCCATTCCCCGATCGCTAAAAGTTGCTAACTTGTGGGTTAATTAAGTTCGGAAACCCAACCGTTTTAAACCAACTAAGAACCACCTGGAGTCTCCATGACCCTTTAAAAATGGGTCCATGACCCCATGACTCTGGGTAATGACCAACCATTTGTTAAGGGTCAGAAGGAGACTCCAACTAAGAACCACTCGCTGAGGCCTTCCGGAACCGGATGCCAAACCACGCCGCGGCAGTGATGCGTTGTTTTTCTTTTCTTTTTTTCTCCGCCACGGAAATCGCGAAGGGTTTGAGGTTGCGAATCCCTTCCGATCCACTGACACGGATTTGAATTTTGGGTTGGCGCACACCTCTCAGCACATCTGGTTCATCAGCCTGGGGTGTTTTGTTTCTGCCTAGAACTATTCCCCCGGTATGGGCTCTCTGAACCAAAATCCAAAAAAAACGAAACAACTCGGGGCGTCGTTCTTCTAGCGAGAAACTCTCAAAATTAGATACCTGTTTCGTTTCCCATTAAAACCCATCCAAAGGGGGGGGGTCCCTATTTTCAGACCTGCTTCTTTTTGGGAGGGCCATGTCCTAAACGGCTCGAGCCGCGCTTCTCCTTCTTTCCGCCCAGATCGCCGTGGGGAAAAAAAACAAAAAACGATCCGTCGGTGCCGTCGGATGCCGTCGGATTCCGGCGCCTGCGGTGATGATTCCCACCACGTAACCCTCGCTGCCGCCCTCAATGACTGGGGAGAGCCTGGCCAACGGTTTCCAGCGCCGGCCGCATCGAGAGCCCCCCGAAGAGGGCTTCTTCTACGGGTCCGAACGAATTGAATTACCCGAGATACACACGGTATACCTAAACCCTCACACCATCTTAAAAAAAGGGTTGGAAGACAGCCACCACTATGTTGGGTTGCAAGAACCCATTTGAGGGGTAGTTTGAGGGTCCAGGCGATATGGTTGTATATCTCATTCAACCTCTGGAGTGGTTCCAGCAGTGGTAACTTTTTCCAAACCCGGGGGAGAAAAGGAAGAAGCACAATCATTGGGGTTCAGCTACCACCATTAAAGCAATGGTTGGGTTCATGTAACCACAATGTCATCATCCAAACTGGATCAACCATTTCTTTTTAAATCGGGGTTGAACCCTGGGGTTTGCAGTGAAAGGAGGGCCTGGAAACAGTGCCTTGGAACACCTGGCCAGCTTTGAGAGCTGAAAGATCGCACTCCAAAAACATCCGGCGCAACCAAACGTTTTCTGTCAGACCCAATGTGCTTTCACGAGACGCGATGTGAGGCACCCTGAGGGAAATCATTTCACCCCTCTGGGCCAGCCTTGAAAGCTTTTTGGGTAGGCGGCCACTAGCACGGAAGTGTGCGGAGCCAAAAAAAGATGAAGTGATGAAAGATTTGACGTGGATTGACCTGGTGTCCATGCCAAAAAAAATGTCGCGCCACGCCAGGCTTCTCTCGGTTTGAATTGGGGGGACGACACACACACACACAAACACCCATGCGGCCATACCAGCCATACGGGTTTGCTCCTAAATTGACGACGGTGGGATTCCCCGCTGGCTTCGCTTGGAAACAATCCCAAAAAGAGTACCTGGACCCTCAAACTACCCTTTAAAAAGAGGAAAACACCAATATGTTTGGGGCAATAAACCATGTCCAAGGTAGTTTAAGGGTCCAGGTACGCTCCAAAGCAGACACCCCGCATTCAGAGCCCAAAAAAACGCTCTTTCAATGTCACGCCAAAAGAAGAGTAAGACCTTGAATTGGCCCACTAGGTGAAGGCAAATGTCAAAACTAGGGCGCCCCTCCAACTAGTTGTTGTCCTTGTGGTTTTCCCTTTCGCCAACCCCAAAAAAGGGAACTGAGCAAACAAACGGCTCAACAAACATACCCAAGGTGCTCAACCCAAAAAGGGGAAACAAGACAACCTTCACAACCCTTGGTATACCGCAGCAAACAGCTTTTTGCTTTTTGCAGGCCTACGAAAAAATGAGGAACAGAACCAACAAAATCCCCACCAGCCATGGCACCGTCATGGCCTGCGACTGGGGCTATGGGGAGGGGCTATGGGTCTCCCTCATTACTTGGTTGACGTTGGAAGGGGAGCAAAAATATATAATTTTTAGCAGTTAAGTGGGGATTTCTCACTAAACCACAATAAGCAAAATGTAAAATGCTTCCCAACAACAACCATGAATAACCCTGCAGTTCAGTTGCCATTCTCGGTTGCAATAACCCATCTTCAAGCGTTGTATGGTGGAACCTCTTTTATGAACCGGGGTGGGGCCCCTCCAAAAGTGAATCCAACCACTCAAATGGGGACACCAGGACCGGGCCCCAAAAAGTCAAGCATTTTTTTTTTTTAATTACGGGGTCCCAATGGCTCGGGTGTGTTCGCTTTGTGCACCTTGAGGGTCCAGGTACTCATTGCTGGAGAGGAACACCCATCCCCCCCCCCTCAGGCCAAACACAAAAATGAGAATCCAAAACGAGGAATTTCAAAATAAACACAGCTGGTGTAAATTCAAAGAAAAAAACACCGGTTCCAAAACCCCCCCTTGTTTATACAACCGGTGTATTGCTCGCTCAAAAACGACCATCGGCCGAGGGCGGCGCTCTCTACGTTCCTGCTTCTCCTCCGGCGAGCGGCGAGCGCAAGGCTGTGGGACGCAAGGTTCCAGCATTCCCTTCCATTTCCATTCTTTCCTTCTAAAAACCTCAATAAACTGAGGGCAAACGGATCCGGTTTTTGAAAAGAACGATGGTTGAAAAGAATGGACAGGGAATCAAACCCTAGAAGGGCTCTCCGTTTTTGGACGACCCCAACTTTCCTGGCACCCCATATGGCCGTTTTCGTTTTGGGTCAAACTGTCTTAGGCCGGAGATTTCTCCGTATGGCATCATTTCTATTTTTTCTTTCCCGGTCCTGAGCGCGTACATCGCCCGTATGAAACTTGTTTTTTGGTTTTCTTCTCCGGGACAAGGTAGACTTCAACCTTCAACCCTTTTGGCTCGGATGCCATCCCCGGAGGATCTGGCAGCCATGGAGGTCTGGGTGAACCCTGACCCCCGTAACCTCCAAATACCCAGCCTTTTTTATGGTATTTTTGGAAAAACCTGGGTTTCCACGGTAAATACCTCTTTTTTAGTAGAGGGTCGACAAATGATACCCCAAAAAACGTGGGTATTGGGTGTAAGGGGTACAGAGGATCTGGCAGCCATGGAGGTCTGGGTGAACCCTGACTTTTCAGAGGACGGCAAGGGCAGGCGTTTACGCGCCGCTTGGACGTTGTCGCTTGGGATGATGTCCCTTCTCCGCGTTCCATGGGGAAAGAATCGGCGTCCCATGTTTTGTGGCTGGTTGTTGCTCCTGGGGGTTCCCTAAACTCAGAGCTTCCTGTTGTTTTGGTTCCGCCACATTGCTCAAGACCCCACCCCCCCCAATTGGAGTGAGTGGAGCCCACATCCTGGCCGAAGCCAAAAATCAGGCCGTCCCACTAAGGGGAAGGGCTATCCATAAATTAAATCTATTTAACAGAGCTTCCTTTTGTGTTGGTTGAGTTTTTTCAGGAATCGGAACCCAAAAAACCCAAACAAAAGTGGACAAATGGGCGGAATCCAGTGGTTGCAACTGGGTTGGGGAACTCAACCACGGGTTTAAGTCTACCTTGGGGTACTCAGACAACCGGAAAACCCGAGGAGCGGGACGTGACTTGGCTCCTTGGACCTCATATTCACCCCCCACTCCAAATACCCACCTTTTCTAGTTGGTACTTTTTGGAAGACCGATCGGTTTTTCAAGGTAAATACCTCCTTTTTCTCCAAATACCCACTTTTTCTAGGGTATTTTTTGGAAGACCTGATTTTTTAGTAGAGCGCCGACCTGATCCCCTGAAAAAAGGCCCCGGGTCTTTGGAGGTGAATCGGAAACAGGGCCCAAGGGACCGGCAGCTTCGAGAAGTGCGATCCGCTGGAGGATCCGGAAAAAAGCTTGGTTGCTGCAACGAGCCCCCTGCAAAAAGTGAGCTTCACTTAGTGGAAAACCCAACTTGATTTCAACCAAACAGTTAAAGTCTAAAGATCCGTTGCCCAATAGCAGTCAAGGGAAAAAGTAGGAGAAAAACACTTGGTTGGCGTTGGGTGGGAGCAAACGTTCAACAGGTGTAGCAGTTAAGTGGAAGGGGATTTCAACCGCCAAACCACAACAAGCAAAAATGTACAACATGTTTCCCAGCAACAACCTTGAACAAGTGGGGTTTGTGGTTGTTGAGGGCACCCACTCTTTTTTGGGGGGGTGGCTTTCAAGGGAAACCCCTGGGACATTGTGTTTTGCTTGGGGGGCCCAGTGGAACTGGCAATGGGCTTCTAACTGGTCTGTCCGTTCTCAGATCCCCGATCGCTGAAAGTGACTAGCTTGGTGAAATTCGGACACCCAACTGCTAAACCAACTAAAAACACACCCTACTCCAAATACCCGACCTTTTTCTAGTTTTTTTTTTTTTTTTAGAAAACCGGTTTCGGTTTTTCAAGGCAAATACTGATCCCTTTTTTAGTAGAGGGTCGACAAATGATACCAACTAAAAAAAGGGCATGGGGTATTGGGTGGTTACGGGGCATCTCAAAGTCTAAAGGAAACAGGCTTTCCAAAAAAATACGAGAAAAAGTGGATTTGGAGTAGGGGGTAAACCAACTAAAAACATCTACAGTCTAGAGGAACCAGATGGCTGGGGGTTCCCCACCAAGCTGATAGACATGTGCTATTTCTTCGACTCAGTAAGTGGGTAACCCGCTTAAAACCCACCCCAGAGCTTCCTCGGCCGTAACTTAGGCCTTTTGTCAACGGCCTTTTAGACACCCCGTAAAAAGGCCATTCAAAAACCAACCCGTGTTTAAATTCGGCCTCCGTAACTCAGGCCTTTGGACTGGGCACGTATAGGTCCGCGGAGTTTAACCCTATAGGATTCTTCACCCAGGCGAACCACCCCTGGCGATGAGCATCCCATGGGCCGATTTCTTGGAGGTGTCCCGTCAAAACGCCAGTTCCCACTTCATCTCAGCCTCCCTCTTGGTGGTTTGGAGTCCGGTGGTTTAACAGGGATCCCTACATTTTACACCAGAGAACATTGCAACTTGTATCTGGTGGTGTCCAACTTTATTTTGGTGTTGAAAAAGCCACATGTTTCAAATGGTTGCAAGATGGAGATCTTTTAAGGAGCCCTGTCCAATAGTGATAACTTCCCTTTCAAAACCAACAGGGGGGAAATTAAAAATATCCTTAACCAAATGGACGATTATCGAGGAAAAAAACAAAAAAACACACCCACACACACACACCCGACAGGGAATTTGGCCTTCCCATGTTTTGCAAGAAAAAGTTCACGTGCCAAACCAGCAGGCTCCAAACAACGAAGAGGGAGGCTGATCATCCCACCCCCGTAACCTCCAGATACCGATTCGGCGTTTTTTAGTTGGTATGTTTTGAAGAACCGGTTTCGGTTTTCCATGGTAAAAATACCGATCCCTTTTGTAGTGGCTCGGCAAATCATAGCCCAAAAAAGGCGGGTATTTGGAGGGGGTATCCCAACACCTCTGTACTAAGGATGCTTTCCGCTGCTGTTGAGTGGCAGCTGGAAGCACCAGCATGGACACACCCTGAAATTGTTACTTCGATCCTTTTGGATTCGAAGAAAAAAACCCACCTGGAGTCTCCATGACCCTTTAGAATTGGAGTCGTGACCCAAAAGATAGGGGTCATGACCCCATTTTTCAAGGGTCATGGAGACTCCAGAGGCTCCAGGTACCCTCAAGACAGACGCCAAGAAGCCCCGGCAATCCTCCCGCCCGACCCAAACCCGAAGCCCCAAGCTCGGATTCGATTCGGGCGCCCGCCTTCTTGAAGTCACGCTGGTGGTCGGGAACACCGTAGCCGCCGCCCTCACGGCGGAAGCTTCACCCAAACGCTAGGGGCTGTGCAAAGCTGAGTCTGTGTTTTTGGCCGAACCTAAAAATGAACAGAGCCAAAACAAACAAACAACTTGAGGCAAGAACAGTGAAATGTTTGGGTATATTGATGGACACAACTTATCCATTTCACACCAGATGGTAGGTGGTTCAGCATTCATAGGGTCCGTATGCCATCCCAATGCAGGATTTTGTCCAGTACCACCCCCTGTCCCACTAACCACAGTTGCCGAAGTGTGACTCCCTTGAACGGGTCTTGGTGGTGTGCCTTCCCAACCCAAGTTGACCCAAAGACAGCGAGCCAAAGGAAAACAGCCACCAACAAGGCCACAACTAGCTGAGGCAAAACCGACAATGACGCCACATCGGATCCTGCGGATGTCTTCTTCTACGCCTCGTTCGCTTCAGCGTCGTGATGAAATGCGATGAGAAGAAACCAAACCTTGGGGAAGGGAAGGGGCAAGTGCGAAGGACCACTTCGCAACTCCAAAATCCCCGTGTTCGACGGCTGGTGCAGTCACTAACCCTTGGTTTTCCGAATATATAAACCACCCCAAAAAGGCCCCTTTTTGGGTTGGCCTGAAAGAGAATCAAGCACAACCATCATTTTTGGGGAAGACCCGAATATTACTGTTCCTGCACCTCTTGAAAAGGGAAAATATCATTTTGTTGGGAAGTTTGAGGGCCCAGGTATTCTTTCCAGCCTCATTGAAGTAGCCTCTGCCCTCGTTGCTGATCTTCATAGGCACTCGTGCGCGCACTCGGTCGCCCACACGGAACCTGGAGAGAAGCTCGTTTCTCGTCTCAACTGCGGTGTCCGTTTTCAGATCCCCTGCTAAAAGTTGAAAATGTTTAGTGGCGAAATGGACACCCCCACTCAACCCTAAATAGCTATATAAGGGGATGGCTCAAGTTTAACTTCTAGTGGCTTATGCTCGGAAACCCAACCACTAAACTTCACCAACTAAAAAGATCTAAAAAGCTCAGTCGAACCGGATGGCTGGAAGCTAGCAAGTCCAGGAATCCCGGAACCCCATCGCTTCGAAAAGACCTGACCCAGAGCTTCCTCGGCCTGAGTAACTTAGGCCTTTTGTCAACGGCCGTAGACACCCCGTAAGAAGGCAACGTAAAAAGCCCGTAAACACCCCGTAAAAAGGCAACGTTAAAAAAAAAAAAAACTAAAAAAAAAAACTCCGTGTTTAAACGGCCTCCGTAGCTCAGGCCTTTGGACTCCCTGGGTGAGGGCCGGTTTCTCCGCCGTTTGGGACCAAGCGCCCCAGTGAGAATGGAACGTGAGCTGCTTGCTTGCCGGAACCTTGCAAGGCTTCTTAGAAGGATCCTTCAAGGATCCTTACAACTACGAGGCTCCATACACCACAAGCTTTTTACAAGGAACCTTACAAGGATACTTACAAGGATCACTATTCATTATAAGCTTACAATAAGGAACCTTACAAGGACTCGTACAAGGATCTTTAAAAGGATATTTACTCCCTTCTGCCGCTGGGGGTGACTGCCGCAAAGTCTGGGCAAAAGGGCCCCAAAACCCGAGGGTAGCCGCGAGTGAAGCAAGCAGAAAACCCTCTCTTGTGGGCTTCGAAATGGAGTGGGGGGTTTCCCACAAAAAACAAGCGGCTCGTTGCAAAGAAAACTGCCGGGCACCGTTTGATTGGAACGATATCTCAGGTGTTTCAAAATAAGCAACAATTGGATCAACAAAAGCTGGGTGGCTTTGCTTCGAATTCCTTCGGGGGGGAACAAAAACACCAAAAAGCTTGGGTAACTCCGAAGACTTGACCACCCCAGCCACGCCACTTCAACCCTCGCGCCTGCTCATCTCAGGAGTCACCTGGGGAGCTGCCTCCGAAGGCGCCAGCATGGCAAAGGCGGACGCCTGGGATGCGCTGAAAAGAATCGGAGCCACTGAACAACTGAGAAAGGGGAAACCGGCGCTGGCCATTTTGGGCCAAACAAAAGCATAAGTCCACCGGATCAGCGGACTGGCGGATCGAACCGGATCCAAGTCAAACAAGGTAATTGTTGTACATCAGACGCCTGGGGTCACGAACTGCCCCGCTAGGCTCTCCAGGCTCCCCTTCGTCTGGAAACAGGGAGAGTCGATGGGAGAGCTTCGCGGCGTACCGACGGACCCGGCAGGCCCTGAGTTGTTCCGAAGATTGGTCATCACCTGGGTTCACTTGGCGTATGGAAACCAAGTTCAGTGGATCTATTCACTTGGTAAAGGTACTTGCGTGTTTGGGCAAGTAAGAAAGTTGTTGGTAACCTGCGTTTCCACCCACTTATAAGTCCCCCTAAGTGGGGGATAACCTTGTTATAAAGGGGTTATACGCCAAATGGCTGACCACTTGCCAACTTGGCCAAACCAAGTAGGAAACCAAGGCTTGCCACCCGATGTAAAAACCAAAGGCCGAGGCCCCGAGCGTTGGCAGTCGGGCGGCTGATTCGGTGAAAGCATGGGATGCGTCGACAGGCTTCCCCATGGGAATGGAAACAACAGGAAAACTGCGCTGGCCATTTCTGGCCTAGAAACAGCGAATCATCCATCCCAAGTGATGCAGGACTTCGTCCATCCACAGTATATGCAGTGGTGACAGATTCCCTTTAAAGCCAACAAACATGTGCATATATATATATAGTTCATATGTTCTGGTTTCTGCAAATGGAAGCAAGTAGAAGGTTTGATATGTCAACTGCTCTTCTTGGCTGTCCTCAGATTCCCTGCTAAACGTTTAACCTTTAGTGGGTTAAATGAAACCCAACACTAAACCAACTAAAACCAACTAAAAACCTTTCTGGAATTGAACAGCTGGGAACCACCAAGCCCCTTGTTCACAAAAACTCAGCTTCCCTCTTGGTGGTTTGGAGCCTGCGGGGTTCTGTGGGTTGATTCCCTCCTCCAAAAAGAAGAATACAGGAGATGCCAACCACTTGTGGGGTCTCTTTTTGGAAGATTTCACCGGGTTTCCTCCAAAACAAAAACGAAAATACCCTCCAAACAAAAAAAGTACACCCCCCAAAAAAAACAAACAAACAACAAACAATCATATAATAATTAAAATACAAATAAGAATAATAATAACCGCAAAAAAGGAAGGACACGCCAACCACGGCAGGCCTGGTTTCGCACTATGCTCCAGGCCGACCCAAAGAAGCCATACAGGGCAGCCTTGGTGCGCGTTGCCAAGCGATTCGGGGTGAACCAGACAGCTCCGGCTGTCCGTTTTCAGATCCCCTGCTAAAAGTTTAAGATATTGTTAGTTGGTTAAAATCGGAAACTACCACTAAACCAACAAAAGTCAGCTAAAAACCTGAGGAACGGAGCCACCAAGACTTCACCCAAGGAATAATTTCAGACACCAGAACCATCCAGTAAACCCAGGAAGTCTCCAGTTTAAAGCGCTCAGCGAACGCCCCGTAAACCTCCAAAAAAACGGACCTGGAGGTCGAATCGGCTCGGGTCCGTTGCCCACTGCTGTGACCCGCCAGAGTTGGTCTCGCAGTAGTAGTGGTCCGTTACCCCCCCCCAAGTTCTCCAGGTCACCCACAAGGTGCCCTTCAAAGGGTAAGCCTCTTAGGGCCGCAACGAGGCTACCCCCTACTCCAAATACCCGCTTTTTTTAGTGTATTTTTTGGAAAACCTGGGTTTTCAAGGTAAATACATGATACCCTAAAAAAGGGGTATTTGGAGTAAGGGGTACCCAGAAATCTGGTTGCAGAACGAAGAGCCGCGTACGGGGCCTGGTACCCCTAGATTACCTACAACTGGGTGGTCAGTTTTCAGATCCCCGATCGCCGAAAGTTGTGAACTTGTGGGTTGAATTCGGAAACCCCACCACTAAACCGGCTTTTCGCCAACCCGTATGGGCTTGCAAAGTCCGTTTTTTGCAGCCGAACCTAAACCTAAAAATCAACAGAACGAAAATCAAAAACAATGAAAAGAACATGTGCTTTGCTTGCTGATGCTCAGCAGCATGAGGGAATTACCCGTTGTTTACCAGCCCCCCTTCACCCCTCCAACGGCTTTTTCCCATGAACAAAGCAGGAGGGAAGCTGAACATCATCTAAAAACCACTAAAACCCAAGTTGAGCCGAATCGATTCGCTGGTTGAACCAACCCCCTACTCCAAATACCCACTTTTTTTAGTTAGTATCATGTCGACCCTCTACTTAAAAAGGGATCGGTATTTACCGTGGAAAACCGAAACGGGTTATTCAAAAACTACGTCCTGAAAAGGGCCGAATCGGTATTTGGAGGCTACGGGGAAGGGGGCGCCGGTCCTTTCCCAGTCGGCTTCTCCTGCCAAGACTCGATCGCCAGGCCGAGGGCGAAGCCCTGGATCGCCGAGGGTGACATCGAGTGATGCGGGGGGTGACATCGGGAGCCCCGCGCGCCCCCCCCCCCAAAAAAAAAAAAACACCCCCGTAACGAGCTCCCAAATACCGATTCGGCCCTTTTTCTAGTTGGTACTTTTTGGAAAACCGGTGTCCGTTTTCCGTAAATACCGATCCCTTTTGTAGAGGGTCGACATGATACCAACTAAAAAAAGTGTGTATTGGGTGTAAGGGGCAGGGGTTCAAATCCAAATCCAAACCGCGCTCCAAACCACCTCAGAGTTGCCTGATGAGTGGAGCTTCCACCACAAAAAACAGAACGATTCGAGGCAAAGGGTGGGCTCGAGCGCCGAAAGAAAAAACAAACACGGGCTGAGGCATTGCTTTTTTCTTTTTGGCGGGGTGCCCTAAGCGACGAAAGATCCCTTTTGGGGTTCAACTCGTCCTCTTGCGTATATGTCGCCTGGACAAAAATGTGAAATATGTCCCAGTGATGGATCGCCTTTAACACCAGCAAGAGAAAACACACACTTCAGCTCGTGGAATTCTTTGTGCCGTTGGGCCGTTGGGTCTATTTCCTTCTCGGGGGCCTTTCGGGGGATCGGCTGAAGTCCTCTGAAGCGCTATATAAGGAACCCCTGGCGGGGCTTTTCACGGGCCAGAAGGAAAACCGGCCGAAATGAGCCATGGCTTTTCCAAGAGCTTCCTCGGCCTGAGTAACTTAGGCCTTTTGTCAACGGCCGGTTTCAACACCCCGTTAAAAAAAAAGAAAAAAAGTTTAAACGGCCTCCGTAACTCAGGCCTTTGAACTCCCTGGGTTTTGTTGGGTCTTTCCCCAGTTCGTCGGCCCCTCTTCCGGCCAACTTGGATTCAAGGGATGCGTCAGCCTCTTCCAGGAACCTGAGAGAAAAAAACAACTTTCGGAACCCCAAGCAAGCCTAGGCAACCCCTACCCCCGTAACCTCCAAATACCCGATGCCTTTTTCTAGTTGGTATGAGTTGTCGACCCTCTACTAAAAAAAGGATCGGTATTTTCAATGGAACCCCCCCCCAAAAAAAAAAACACGGGGGTATTTGGAGTAGGGGTACACAAACTCAAAGGAAATGCCCCCGGCCCCCAGCCGCGCCTTTAACCGATCCCGCCGCGCCATCGCCATGTTGCGAGCAGATGGCTGCGGCAAAGGACTACTCTCGCCGCGTTTCGGATAGAAATTTGGCCCCCAAGGAAACCCCACAACGCCAAATACCCGTTTTCTGTTTGTGGTACTTTTGAACAACCGTTTTTCCTTGGCAAATCCCTCCTTTTTTAGCAGCGGGCTGACATGATACCCCAGAAAAAGGGTGTTCGGAGTAGGGGGTACTAGTTCCAATCATGACTGAATTTGGTTCTTGGGGACCGGTCCGAATCCTAACAAAAGGATTCGAGCCACTCATATTGGTGAACCAACCCACTTGAAGGGTCCAAGGGCAAAGAGCCTTCTGACGCAATGCGAAGATCCAAGTTGATTGCCCTAAGGACTTCATACCATGGAGTGTCCATGTTTCCAGGACCCGGGCTTCAGTCTGCCCTGGATTTTTGCGGGGTCAAACCAATGCAAATCGTGCTTGCCCATGTTCATGAGGTACTTGTGTAGAGACAGAGTACTTCACAACCCCATTCGGATTGCTGGGATAGACAAAACCCTGCACCTGGTAAGTGGTTTGTCCAACAGTATTTTTGGGGGCTCATCCATTCCAACTGGTGCATAATTTTGTCCATCCACAGTATGTTGCATCATTGGAACCATGTTCACCTCCGTCAACATATCCAGTCTGCGGTGAATTTAGGAGGGACATCAACGAAGCTTACGAACCTTCCCGCAGAAAACAAGGTCTCAATAATTGTGCAATCTCTTTTGGGCTAACCACATATGGGTTTCTCAACATTGTGCCCCAAAATGGCTTACCCCCTACTCCAAATAATTATCCACTTGTTCTAGGGTATTGTTGGAACAAAAACTGGGTTTCCATTGTAAATACCTCCTTTTTTAGTAGAGGGTCGTCATCATACCCTAAAAAAAGAAGGTATTTGGAGTAGTTTCCTTGAATACCAAAACGAGGGGTCCGAACTCAGTCTCACTTGCCTATGCAGAAAATAAAGGTTTGGAATCTTGAGTAAAGATGGACCAAAATTGAAGAAAACCAGAAGGTCAGAAGATCGAGTCGCTTTGGACAACTGGGAATCTTGAGAACTCCCCCCTACTCCAAATTTCCACTTGTTCTAGGGTATTTTTGGAGAAAAAACACTGGGTTTCCATTGTAAATACCTCCTTTTTTAGTAGAGGGTCGCCATCATACCCTAAAAAACGAGGGTATTTGGAGTAGGGGGTCATCAAAAACTGGGTCCACTAAGTGACACCCTCAAAATGATCCTCTAGATGAGTGGTTGTTTCTTGAAAACCCACCTCAAAGAGAACTTGTGTGAGCGCTTCTCAAAACCAACACTTGTGCGGGAGCCAGTGGAACCTAAAACAGGGGTCCCACAAAAAGAGATTCCGATCCTAAACCTATACCCGTTTTCTGATCCCCGATCGCTAAAAGCGAAGAACTTGTGGGTTAGATTTGGACACCCAACCACGAAACCAACTCAAATTAAAATGGACACCCAACCACTAAACCAACTACAACCAAAATGGAACCCCCACAAAAAAAAAAAAAAAACAACCCAAAGGAATCAGATGGCTTGGTTCCGAACCACCCAGAAAAGCCGGTGCTTTTGGTTGGCTTCCTTCCGTCCGAATTCTTCTTCCTCGGGGCCCCGGCACCGCTCCCGCGGGCCGCGGAAGGAGCCGGGTGCGGAACAGAAGTCTGCGAGGCGTGCTCCAATCTCCGGATGCCCAGCCTCGGAGCCATGCGCAAAACTGGGGGATGGGGATGGGGGGATTTGTTGCTTGGGGCCGGAACGGAAGACCAAAAGGAAAAGGGGGGGGGGGAGCTAAGCCATCCCTAGCCCAAGACCTCATGATTTGCCTTTGGGGTCAAAGGGTCAAAGGCTCACTGGCTGAGTGGATGGCCCGAAAAAAGTCCAAACTTTATATCTACGACTAAAATGGTCTTCCCCAAAAGTTTAAAGTTCATGAACTCAGGAAGTGAGAAGGAAGTCCCCCTCATATTTGGACTGTCCAAGGGGCTCCTCGGGGTAAAGAAAGGCAGGGAGGGGTCTTGGGAGTGGTGCCCGGGTGGTCTGCTGGGCTTCGTGCAAAAGGAAACCGGCCAACCAGCAGCTTGAAAGGTCCTCCAGTTTTGGAGGTTGGAATAAGGGTACCGTTTCTTTTTTCTGCAGTCTGTTTTCGTAGGGGAACCGAATCTCCCAACCAAAAAAGCGGAGAGAAGGGACACTACTGGGGGACCTGGAAGTTGAAAGGTCCCTTAAGAGAAGAACCACCCTAAATGGGTGTGAACTTCGCCCCCAAAAGGGGGAAAGGTCAACCCCCTCGGAATCCATTTTTCAAAGGAGCTGCGAATGGTCAAAAACAAATCCGAGACATGGGAAGTGAGACCCTTGCCTCACAGAGGGAGATCTCTTTTGGCTAGCCACGTGAGCTCACGTTCAGTTCTATCTGGTTACCACATTCATATCTTCGTGATTCCTTTGGTTTCCCATCCCAAAAGGGAGCCAAGAAGCCAGCGTAATCTCCGAATACCCTCCTTTTTTAGTTGGTATTTTTTGGAACACCAACCGGTTTTCCAGGGTAAATACCACCTTTTTTAGTAGAGGGTCAACATCACGCCAACTAAAAAACGAGGGTGTTGGGTGTAAGGGGTACTGTGGATGGTTGCAAAATCCATTTCGCACCACCCAAGAAACTCGGGAATGATTCGATTCCTCAACGTGAATATGTAGCAAACAAACAATGGTCTCAACCGTCGTTTCAAAGTGGTGCGAAATGGATGTCGTCCATGCACAGCATCATTTCCTTGAAAAGGGCTTGCCACCCCTGAAAATCGGATTCGGTTCTCCGGAATCGGAGGTTGACGATGGATTCCGCCTTTAAATTACAAGAAGCCCGGCTGAACTGAGACACCCGAAGACCAAGATCCCGCAAAGGAAACGTGAAGCTGGTTTCCTGCACAGTTCACTCGGTGATTTTGACTTTAAAAGGAGAAGCTCATATTGGTGTGCCTTGAAACCACGGATACCGATCGGGGTCGTCCAAAAAAAGCCTCTGGAACCGTGAAACCGCTAGGTCAGCGCGGCACCCATCCCAAGCCCAGCCCAGACCGCAGTGAGGCGGGGGAGACCATTGGGGTGGGGGTTTGGGTGTTGAGGGGTGGGGTTGGGGGGTTTATTACAAGAGCCAAATCAGCTATGGGATTGCCGTGTACGATTCGACCAGTTTACCCCAGGATCGTGGGACGATAATGTGTAATTCTTGTCACCATGATGATGTCCACCATATTGGGAGGTGTGGTTTTGAAGGCACCGTTGCTGTTTGTTTCGTGAGTTTTGGACCGCATTCTGGTTGGTTCAAGGGCCTTTTCTCAGGACGACCCGCGTTCTTTCGAGGCCCACAAACAACATCCCTACTTGCTTTCCTCAGATAAGCTCAAAACCCCATCCCACAACCCATGTTGCGCGGCCTAAACCATGCTCCAGCTGCCTTCATCCCTCAGCAAGCCCCTGAGGGCAGCCCATCTTTTTCTAGAAACCGTGCGCCCTAGAAGCAGCCCCACTTCCCCCTACAAACCGGCCACCCCCAAAATCCGGTCCAAGTCCGAACATGCACCCACTATATATCCTGGAAACCAGCTCGCGCGTTTCGGCGCCGCCTCACTCACTCCAAACAACACAACTCTTCAAGGCAAACCAAAACATAGTACCTCAAAGCCAACCCACAGAACTCTGGCCGCGGGCAACCCGAAGCGTTTACACATAGTTTGCGGGCAGTGCGAAGCACTAAACCATAAAACTCATAAGAACAAATAAAAAACAATTCAGCTCAATGGGCGTTTTTGGGATGGTGCGTTGGGACCATCAGCTTGGAGTCCCCAAAGGATCCTCGGCGCCCGGGCCCGTGCCCCGTCGCGACGCTCGCCGTGAGCCCCTTCGGTTTGACGAAGGCACGCCCCAAACGGTGGCTTGCAACAAGATGAGCCCGTTGTTTGCACCCTGGAAATGAATAAAACACCTAAAACCCGCTTTTTTTGCCAACGCCTCACGGGGACTTTGTGTTTCCGCGCCAGCCGGCAGTTGGCCACATCTCTCCAGCCGCTGGACCGGGAAAAAAAAGACCTGTTCATCCAAGAAGAGGGAAGGGTGTGTAAGTCACGGTGTGATACACGCCAGATATCAAGCTGTTTTCCTTTAAAGGAACGATCGTGACGTGCTCGTGTTGACCCCGTTGTCCCATTACGCGCTTGACATAGACCACCGTGGGTGAAAAGAAGGATAACAATGCAAAGGATTGGTTTAAAGGGGGCCCACCATGTCGGGGCTGTCCATTGTCTGATCCTCTGCTGAAAAGTGACTTCTTGTTTAGCGAACTAACCTTTTGGAAACCAACCACCTTTCACCAACTAAAAAGCTACCTGGCACTCCGTATGGCTGTTTTTTTTTTTCCCGGTCAAACTCCCGTATTTGGCCGTATTTGCCCGTATGGCCATGATTCTTCGGTCATTTGCGTAAATCACCCGTATGAAACCCATATTTTTTCGACATGTTGTTGAAAAAAAGCCGTAAAAAACTGTATGGCCATTTTTTTCGGTCAAAGGCGTATGACCCAAAAAAACGGCCATATGGGGTCCCAGCTACACATTAAGCTAACAAACCAAACCACCTTTCACGAACTTGGACGTTCCTCAGCTGCTCTTGCGCATGGCTGCTGTTTCCGCCAAGTTCTGGATGACCCCACGTCACAACAGCCCCAGATTCAAGAATGGCAGCAAAACCACCACGAGAAACTGCTTGTGCCTCAAACACAACTCCAAACCTTTCTTCAGTCGCCCAAACGACCCAGAAATACAAGGTTAACCTTTTGGGGCCTTTACTAAAGAAAGACCAAAATTGAAAAACCAAAAGGTTAAGCAACTGAGTTTCTAAAACCGCACTCCTCACTTCCGAACCTCAACCTCCGATTTCTCGGGGATTGGAACTCCACCCGCGCCTCTGCCCTGAGTTGCACACTGGCAGGCCTGAGCCCCAAAACTCCACCGCCTGGGTGGAAAGCCCCACTAATGACAAGGTTAACTCCACTGAACGGTGTGGGTTTGTTCACCTGGGTTACCGATACGAGGAAAACCAGGTTTGCGAAGAAAATACAATGAACATGTTTTTTTGTGTTTGGCCGAACTTGGCCCCAAGGCTAACCCCTCAAGCCTTGGCCATGTTTTTGAAGATGAAACGGGCACGGCCGAATGAAGGGCGCAGTCGTCTTTTTGGGGGGTGGTGTCCTATTTGTCAGGGTTCCCCAGAGTACCCCCTACTCCAAATACCCACTTTTTCTAGGTACTTTTTTAAAACCTGGTTTTTCGAGGTAAATACCTCCTTTTTTAGTAGAGGGCTAAAAAGAGGGGGTAAGTGGAGTAGGGGGTATCTGTCCCAAACCGTCACTTACCCAGGTGTTGATTGCTTCCAGTTGGTTCAGGCCCCAGAAAAAAAAAAAGCAAGAATATGTCCAGTAGTGATGAATTCCTTTTAAATCCAACAAGGTAAAATAGAACAGATATTCTTAAGCAAATGGAGGAGTATGGCTCATGTGCTTTGCAAACCCAAGAGGGAAAAAGCAAAAGGGCCAATTCTTTCAGATGCGAGTCTGATGGTGAAGGCTTGTTTCCAAAGGAAATCTGAAAATCTGACTCCGCTCGTTCCCTTTCAAGAAATCTAAATCTACCCAAAAGGGAACCAAGGGAAAATCCAAGGGGACCCCAAGGGAACACCAGGTTGGGAAACCAAGGGAAAATCACCAAAGGAAAAAAATGGAAAACCCACACAAACCCAAGGAAAAACTGACAAAACCAAAAGATGAAACCAGGGCCTCACGCAACGCAACTTCGATGTCCGAACACCCATTTGCGGTGGAGCGTTGCAAGTCGGAAGCCCGGGAGCAAAGCCCCCGTGATCGACGAAATGTCTGGTTTTGTTGCTCTGTCCCCCCGTTCCCCGACTGGGCTGCCCTCAGATCTGCTGAACGTGACTAACTTCTTTTTTTTTACTGGGTTACACTCGGAAACTCCCCCAAAAAAACAAGTCAACGCCGCCTGAAAAACCTTTCAGGCACCCAAGAATTGGCTGGAGACGCCTCCGGTTTCTTTGCTCACGAAACCGCGAAGAGATACGCAGCCGCGCCTGCTGACTGGGTTGGCCCTGCGATCGAGAGGCGAGATGCCACTGGGGCCACTGGTTTTCTCATACCCCCTACTCCAATTACCCTGCCGTTTTTAAGGGTACCTGGCACCCCGTATGGCTGTTTTTTTCCGGTCAAACTCCCGTATTTGGCCGTATTTGCCCGTATGGCCATGATTTTTCGGTCATTTGCGTAAATCACCCGTATGAAACCCATATTTTTTCGACATGTTGTTGAAAAACAAACGTAAAAATCCGTATGGCCATTTTTTTCGGTCAAAGGCGATGGGGTCCCAGGTATCATTTGTCGACCCTCTACTAAAAAAGGAGGTATTTACCATGGAAAACCTGTTTTTTCTTTCCAGAAATACCCCAAGAAAAGTTGGTATTTGGAGTAGGGGTGCCTTTTGGGGTGCCATGACATATCTAGGTCCTCTAAGGGTACCATTTTTTTCTGTAGTCTATTTTAGTACCAAAAAAGGGTGAGACAGGGCACTACTGGGGGACCTATATAGACATAGAGAGAGAACCTGGGACCCCATATGGCCGTTTTTGTTCGGTCATAGAAAAC